TTCCAACTGTGTCATGTTGAGTAAGTCACCTCACTTCCATGGCCCTCAGTTTTCCTATCTGTAAGAAGAAGGGAAGAGACTAGATTAAATTTTGGAAGAAGCTAAAAATGCTAAATGGGAAGGGAGGACATAGTGTATTCTAGCCATGGAGGAGGGTCAGTGCAAAAGCATTAAGAGTTATAGGATCATTTATAAAACTAAACTGTGATTCAACAATCCCAAGGGAGACAGAGAGTCCTGTGTGTGAGAAAGCCAGTTTGACTAACCTGTAGAGTAGAGGAAGGAGAGTATTATATTTTATAATAAAGCTAGAAAGGTAGAATGGGGCCAGCTTGGGAAGGGCTTTAAAAGCCAAAACAGAGGGTTGTATTTTATCCTAAGAACATTAGGTTGTTATTGGAGTATATTGACATGATCAGACTTGCACCTTATGAAAATAATTTTGGCAGTTGTGTGGAGAATGAATTAGAGTGGAGAGAGATGTGGCTTATAAATCAATTAATCCATTGCAGTAATCTGGGTGAATGGTGATATGAGTCTGAACTAGAATGGTAATTGTATGAGTAGAGAGAAGGGGGACAGGTATGAGAAATGTGGAGAATGGATAAGACTTGTCAACTGATAATGTGAGGAGAGGAGAGTGAGGAATCAAAGATGCTTCTAAAGTTGTAAGGCTGGGATGGTTAGTATAGTGGTACTATCTACAGAAATAGGGAACTTTGAAAGGAGGGGGTTGGATTTGGGAGGGAAAAATAATCACTTCTATTTTAGAAATGTTGAATTTGAGATGCATAAGTGATAACAAGTTGAAAATGTCCAATAGGCAGCTAGAGATACGTGACTAGAGCTCAGAAGAGAGATTAAGACTGGACATATGGATATGGGAATTATCAGCATAGAAATAATAATAAAACCCACTACAGCTGATGAGGTCATAATGTGAGAGTACTGAAGAGAAAAAGGCTCAGGATAGAGCCTTGGGGTCCATCCAGTTACATAATATTACTTGGATGATGAACCAGCAAAGGAAATTGATTAGGAAGAGAAACAAGAAGCAACAGTGTCACTGAAAAGCCAGAGGAGAGAGTGTTCAGGAAGAGAATGATAAACTGTCAAATGCAGATAGCCTGCTCTAGGACATGGAAATAGGAAGTGGAATACTGACTTCAGGGAATTGTTTCAATAGACCAGTTTGGGTGGAATATAGACTACATGAAGTTGAGCAATATGACATGAAAAGGCAAGTTAGAGTTAAATTGGGGAAAACTTTAAATTGAAATTGAGGACTTTATATCTTATTGAGGACACAAAGAGGAACCAATGACAATTCTGAGTAGGAGAGTGACATTAGAGTTACACCCATTTTTAAAAGTTATTTTGACAGAATTTTTGTAGGATGGATTGGAGATGGGGAAACAAATTAAGAACCTACTGCAATAGTCCTGGTAAGGGATAGAAATAAGGAGGTTTGGAAGAGGGTCAAGTATAAGGTAAAAAAAAAAAACCCAATAATCAGTTATGTTTTGGACATGTCAAGTTTGAGGTCAATTGGACATCCATTTAGAAATGCCCCATTGCTTTCGACAATGAGATACCAGAGTGATTCAAGCTAGAGACAAATAGATAAGTTCAGGAATCATCTGCATAGAGGTTATAATTAAACCCATAGAAAGTTGATGATTTTACCAAGAGAAAGAAAGAAAAGGGAAGAGTGCTCTGAATGTGGCATTGAGGAGTACCCAGTTAGAGTTTGGGATATGGATGATGATCAAGCAAAAGACATTGAGAACAAGTGATCAGGCAGGCAGGAGGGCAACCAAGAGAGTGCAGCATCACTTAAATCAAGAGAGGACAGAGTGGGAAAATGGAGGGAGTAATGGATAGTCAAAAGGTGCAGAGATCAAGAAGGAGGAGGGTTGAGAAAAGGCCATTGGATTGAGAAATCAAGAGTTTTATGATAACTTTGGAGAGAGCACTTTCAGTTGAATGGTAGGGTCAGAAACTAGATTGGAAGGTGTTTGAAAAATGAGTGGAAAAAATTTATAATGATAAATTTATTGTACATTTAAAAGGAATAGCAAGTTGTACATAACAGATTTGCAGTTTCATGTGTAATCACCTTTTTTATTATTCTGCTGTTATAAAAATGCTTGTTTTATTTTATAAATTAAAAATAAATAAAAATTTAAAAATGAATGGGAGAGCAATTATAGATAATATATTTAGACTATATTTTTCTGTGTGTTTTTGAAGGAGAGATAAAAGATAATAGTTTGAGATGATGGTTGGATAAAAAAGTTTTCTTTTTCTTCTTTAAGGGATAAAGGAGATGTGGACTGGTTTGTAGAGAGCACAGAGGGAGCCAGTAGATAAGAAGGTATTGAAGATGAAAAAGAGAGGAGGAATAGTAGAAGAGCCAAACTGCCAGAAAAGATGAGAAGAGATAGGCTCAAGGTCACAGGTTGGCCTTGGAAAGGGTAAGGGAGCCTCTTTCTCAAAGACTGGAGAAAATGATATAGAAAGGCACTAAGTTCAGAGGGCCATAGATTTAGAACCGTAAGGGACCTTGGAGCCAGAGTCTAACTCCTTCATTTTACATTTGAGGAAACTGAGGCTCAGAGAGGAATGAATAAACATTTATTAAGCCAGTACTATGTGCCAGGCATTGGGCTTTTTATAAATATTTTCTCACTTAATCCTGACAACAACCCTGTGAGGTACTCTTATTATGATTTTCATTTTACAGTTGAGGAAGCTGAGGCAAATATGAGTCAAATGACTTGCCCAAGGTCACACAGCTAATAACTAGCTGAGACTGGATTTGAACTTAGATCTTCCTGACTCCAGGCACTGCATTGTATCCACTGAGCAACTAGCTGCCTAAGTGCCTAAATGCAGATGAACACTTACCTAATGGGATTTCAAAATAAATGATAGTTACTTATGCATAGATTTATAAGTAAAATGTGATGATTGTGTGGTTATCAAGCATGTGCTTGTCTGTTTTAGAGTCAAAAGAACTGGAATTTACTTAATGTGTATATTAATCTGGGACTGCATATTAGTCACCCTAGTTCTGTATTGGTATCCAAAGAGTATAATAGTCAAAGTTCAATAAGAGTAATCACAATTTATCTAAGACTTTAATGTTTATAAAACATGTTCTTTTGTAAATTCAATGAATATCCTTACCAATTAGAGCACTAGATATGGGGTGTCCCCGAAACCTTAGCGCATTTCAAAGTTTAAAATTAAGCTTGAAAAAGAACTAAACTTTTGGGACAACTTGTGTAAGGCCAGTTCTTGCTCTTAGGTTCTTTGCAATCAGGCTAATAGTTTAAAGACACATAAGACAGTTTAATCTGACCTTTTATAGAAAATGCTTTCCTTTAAAAGAATTCATCTCTCTGTCTCTTTCTGTCTGTCTCTCTCTGTCTCCTTCTGTCGCTATCTCACCAAAGCCTGAAGCAGGAAATGAAGGTAATAATTCTTAAGAGGTGTATAACACAGCTTTTGCGAAATCCGGTCCAGGTTTTCTCTCACACTTTTATATTATGAAGAAGTATTCGGGTCACAGTCTATTCTGTGTATTCCCGTTTATTAGGGCTGGGGCGTTTTCTCGTGAGGAGGGAGGGACAGAAAACAGCCAAAACCAGGCCTGGAAAGTTGGCTGCTTCCCATTCCAGTCTCTAATTTTCAGCCTCCGCAAGTTTTCGGGTAGCCTCCAGAGATGCCATTTTAAAAAAGGACAATCTCTCAAAAACAAACACACACCGAGAGAGGGAGAGAGTGTGTTGAGAAAGAGGTGAATCTTGGTCACCTTAGTCAATATATCCTGGAAAATGGTTCTATAACGTTCCAGTCTTTTTTGGGGGGCGGGAGGAGCCCTCTCAACACCCTCACCATTTATGTCCCCAGCTCCCCTTTACGCTCATGTAATGTTAGAGCAGGAAGGCGTTTTCCATTTCCTCACTTTATAATCGAAGATACAGCTTCCTGAGAGTGGAAATGGCTTGCCCAATGTTCTACGACTAGAGTGGTAAAATCAGAAGCAAAAACCACTTCTTTTGAACCTCAGTTCATTTTCCCTCCGCTCTACCACAATGAAAAAGGAGGAGGACTACAGATAAGAGTCAGAAGGCTTGGGTTCGAACTCATACATGACTACTTACTGTTCTGGGACCTTGAACAAATCACTTCATTCCTCAGGGTTTCAATTTCCTTAACTGTAAAAATGAGGATATTGGAGTAGATGAGTTCTAAAATCTTCTAATTCTCAATCTTTTAGTCATTTTAATGAATCTGAATGGAAGAGAGTGATACTGACTTTTCTGGGCAAAGAAGGATTGGGAAGGGGATTAGGGATGGGAATGGGGACAAAGATGGGAGTGAAGACAGGAGTGGAGATGGGCGTGGGCGTGGGGACGAGTACGGGGACGAATGCAAAGGTAGGGGGTCATTAAGACGTACAGGGGAATGGAAAACCTCTGACCTCCAGGGTGGGAAAGGGGAACGGTGTGTGTGTGTGTGTGTGTGTGTGTGTGTGTGTGTGTGTGTGAGATAGCGTAGTTTCTATTCCCTGGGAAATAGAAAAAACACGACTCGGGGTTGGAGTGAGTTTGGTGAAACTTTTGCGGAGTTTGGATTAGAAATTTAGTACTTTTTCTGTACTTAGAAGTCCTTTAATATCTGGGACAATAAACTGGAATTTACTGTGCACATTTATCTGAGACTGCAAAGTAGTCGGCCTATTCCAAAATTGGCACCCAAAGAGTACAAAAGTTAAATGCATCTAAGATGTTACGAAACACTTTTCCTTTGTAAGTTCAATAAATATCCTTACTAATCACTAGACACTAAACACTTGGATGTCCTCCAGCACTTTTTTTTCTCTTTTCATCAAAATCTATCTTAAGTTTGGGAAGGGGGGTGTGTGGGGTGTGTATCTGTGTGTTACAGACACTCCCCCCACACCCCTCACTCCACTTCTGCTCCCCGCCCCTCCTGACGAAGGCCGCGGGGAAGTCCCGGGGTGAAGCTCTAGCCCTTCTTGCTCCACCCTGCTGCGAGCTGGTATCCAGTGGCTTTCTCTGACCCGTCTGTGCCGACCACCCGCAGACAGTGTCCGCTACGCACTGCCATTGGCGGTCTAGCAGCTGCAATGGGAGCCGCGGCCTCCTCGGCTCTGACTGGCCTCCGCCATGCGCTCCCAGCCTCGGCGCAGTCCAGGGCCGCCTGGCTCTGGGCGGCCGCGCTGGGACTGGCCGCTGCCGCGGCGCTGGGGGCCGCCGCCTGGAGCACTACGGGCCGGCGATGGCGGCGGTGGCGGCGGGGGCCGCGGCAGCTGCGGCAGGTGGGCACCGTGGCGCAGATCTGGATCTACCCCATTAAGTCTTGCAAGGGGGTGATCGTGAACGAGGTCGAATGCACCGAGATGGGGCTGCGCAGCGGCAACCTGAGAGACAGGTACCATGTGGCCCCCGGCACTGCCCCAGTCCTGGGACTGGCAGGCTGCGTGACGGGCTGTGGAGTACAAGGGTAGAGAGAGTTGGGGTGCGAGTACGAGGGGAAACCAGGGGCACCTCTTACTCGGAAGAGGAAGATGGGGAAAGGCAAATCAATCGCTCTGGTGATTTGGTACTGTGTCCTTGAGCTCTGTCAGGTTCTTCTAGGTCTTGGATTGCCAAAGCACACCTATCAGCAGAAAAAACAATAGTGCCTACCTAGGTGCACTCTGGGGTACAGCTTCTGTCAGCCAGCAGCACTCCAAGGGAGCATTATCACCATGTAACTGCAACTTTAGAGTTCTTAAACTTTGACCTAGTTTCCTTTCAGAAAACAGTTAATGCCTTTGGTAAAAATGATATAGAATGATTTCATTGTAGGACACTGGGAATTGATAGTTAAAAGACTGATCAAGATTTGCAGGGCCTTCAGACCAAACTGTTATCCTCATATGAGATAAAGACTGGGCCTGTGGTTTTAGTGATATTCTGAGTTCCCAGATGAGGGAGAACTCCATCTGTTAATGCAGAGGAGACGCTTGCTTTTACAGCTTACAGTCCTAGAGAGTTGCCTAAGAACACTAAGAATGACTTGCTCACAGTTAGTATGTGTCAAATATGAGACTTGAACCCAGGTCTTCTTGGCCTCTGAGACCATCTCTCTATTGACTACATGACAATGTCTCATATTTTCATAATATTATTTTGTAACATGTAGCCTAAAGAGGAAATAGTGGATGTGTGTGTACTAAGGGTCACTGTGTCTACTCCCATATAGAGGAATAAAATCAGTACAGTAGTAAAACCTAGCGCAGTCTTTGGCACATAGTAGGTGTTTTTTGGTTGATGAAGAAAGGAGGCACTTAAGAGGTAAAGTGACTTGGCCCCAGTCACAGAGCCAATTAGTGGCAGAGCTGGTATACTCTGAGGCCTAATTCCATACTCTTTCTGTTCCACCATGGGGCATTTATATAACCAGGATGATTTAACCATCATCCTACATGAGATTGCAGAGTATGAGCAAATTGATGTCTCAAGGATGCTCCCCTCCCTGTGATTATGTGATTTATTTATCTACTGTCCTGTTATCCAAACTGTTCATTCACTTCTCTGCTGGATGCTTCAAGGGAGATAGATATATCACACTCATATGGGTGCACAGTCATTGGCTAAAGAGTTAATGATTAAGCTGTGAAAGGTGGGCCTCTTAAGTATATCCTTAATCCTCAGAGAGAAGCTATTAGTTCCAGCTGGGTCACTTTTTCCTTGAGCCTCTCTCCGAGGATTAAGGATATACTTAAGAGGCCCACCTTTCACAGCTTAATCATTGACTCCTTAGGCAATGACCGTGCACCCATACGAGTGTGATATATCTATCTACCTTGAAGCAAACATCTAAATAAGACAAAACAAGAAAACAGGAAATAAGAACAACCAGTAGCATGGCAGAAACTTTTTCTATTTTTTAAAATGAATTTTTATTGATGCCTTTTGTTTCTTACACCATCATAGTTATCTCAAATATCCATCCTTCTCTTCCTCTCCCAGAGCCCTCTCATATAACAAATAGTATTTTTAGAGAGAAAAAAAAATAAACACAACTGATGGATATATTGAAAAAGTCTGAGATCATGTGTGCAATATATAACCCGTGTACACCTCCCACTTCCCTGAAGGGAAGGGTGAGTTAGGAGTGTCCTCTCATATGTCCTCATTTAAATCTTGCTCAGTTTTTATAATTTTGTTAAAGTCACTTTTGATTTTTTGCTGTGTCAGTCTTTCCATTTACATTGTTGTAGTTACCGTATATATTGTTTTCTTGACTTTGCTCACTTCACTTTGCATCAGTTCATGTAGATTTTTCCATGTGTCTCTGTATTCATTGCACCGTTTTTTACAACATAGTTATATGTCATTACATTCATGTACCACACTTTATTTATCCATCCCCCAATTGATGGGCATCTATTTTGTCTCCAATTCTTTATTATCACAAAAAAGTGCTGCTGTTAATATTTTGGTGTCTATAGGGAATTTCTTCTGATTAGTGTCTTCCTTGGGATGTAAACCTGGTAATGGAGTATCTGGTCCAAAAGGTGTAGATATCACTTTATTTGCGTAATTCTGAATTGCTTTCTAAAATAGTTGTACTGTCCCACAGCTCCACCAACAATGTATTAGTGTGCCTATCCTTTCACAACCTCTCCAACATTGACTATTGCCATTTTTTGGTTATTTTTATTTTTTGCCTATTTGTAGAGTGTGAGATGAAACCTCAAAGTTGTTTTGGTCTTAATTTCTTTTATTATTAGTGATTTGGTGCATTATTGCATGTAGTTGTGAATCCTTTGCAATTCTTCTTTTGAGAATTGTTTGTTCATATCTTTTGACAAATGTTTATTGGAAATGGCTATTAGTCTTATGCACATTTAGTAATTGTTTACATATCTTGGATACCAGACCTTTTTGGGAGAAATTGGATGTAAAGATTTTTTCCCATTCAACTACTTCATTTTATATCCTAGATCTCTATCCAGCAAACCATTCCTTGTAACTAATAATAATATTAATAATGATAATAAGTGTAGTAGTAGTAGTAGTAGTAGTAGTAGTAGTAGTAGTAGTAGTAGT